TTAAATTATTGACGTTGGATTAGACTTGGAGTGTATGGAATTTGTATGGATTATGTATGGATTATGTATGGATTATGTATGGATTATGTATGGATTATGTATGGATTATGTATGGATTATGTATGGATTATGTATGGATTATGTATGGATTATGTATGGATTATGTATGGATTATGTATGGATTATGTATGGATTATGTATGGATTATGTATGGATTATGTATGGATTATTGACCCTAATATATTTTAGTGTTGATGGATTATATTGTTTATACAGGGTACAGGTTGTAATTTAAATTATTGACGTTGGATTAGACTTGGAGTGTATGGAATTTGTATGGATTATGTATGGATTATGTATGGATTATGTATGGATTATGTATGGATTATGTATGGATTATGTATGGATTATGTATGGATTATGTATGGATTATGTATGGATTATGTATGGATTATGTATGGATTATGTATGGATTATGTATGGATTATGTATGGATTATGTATGGATTATGTATGGATTATTGACCCTAATATATTTTAGTGTTGATGGATTATATTGTTTATACAGGGTACAGGTTGTAATTTAAATTATTGACGTTGGATTAGACTTGGAGTGTATGGAATTTGTATGGATTATGTATGGATTATGTATGGATTATGTATGGATTATGTATGGATTATGTATGGATTATGTATGGATTATGTATGGATTATGTATGGATTATGTATGGATTATGTATGGATTATGTATGGATTATGTATGGATTATGTATGGATTATGTATGGATTATGTATGGATTATGTATGGATTATTGACCCTAATATATTTTAGTGTTGATGGATTATATTGTTTATACAGGGTACAGGTTGTAATTTAAATTATTGACGTTGGATTAGACTTGGAGTGTATGGAATTTGTATGGATTATGTATGGATTATGTATGGATTATGTATGGATTATGTATGGATTATGTATGGATTATGTATGGATTATGTATGGATTATGTATGGATTATGTATGGATTATGTATGGATTATGTATGGATTATGTATGGATTATGTATGGATTATGTATGGATTATGTATGGATTATGTATGGATTATTGACCCTAATATATTTTAGTGTTGATGGATTATATTGTTTATACAGGGTACAGGTTGTAATTTAAATTATTGACGTTGGATTAGACTTGGAGTGTATGGAATTTGTATGGATTATGTATGGATTATGTATGGATTATGTATGGATTATGTATGGATTATGTATGGATTATGTATGGATTATGTATGGATTATGTATGGATTATGTATGGATTATGTATGGATTATGTATGGATTATGTATGGATTATGTATGGATTATGTATGGATTATGTATGGATTATGTATGGATTATTGACCCTAATATATTTTAGTGTTGATGGATTATATTGTTTATACAGGGTACAGGTTGTAATTTAAATTATTGACGTTGGATTAGACTTGGAGTGTATGGAATTTGTATGGATTATGTATGGATTATGTATGGATTATGTATGGATTATGTATGGATTATGTATGGATTATGTATGGATTATGTATGGATTATGTATGGATTATGTATGGATTATGTATGGATTATGTATGGATTATGTATGGATTATGTATGGATTATGTATGGATTATGTATGGATTATGTATGGATTATTGACCCTAATATATTTTAGTGTTGATGGATTATATTGTTTATACAGGGTACAGGTTGTAATTTAAATTATTGACGTTGGATTAGACTTGGAGTGTATGGAATTTGTATGGATTATGTATGGATTATGTATGGATTATGTATGGATTATGTATGGATTATGTATGGATTATGTATGGATTATGTATGGATTATGTATGGATTATGTATGGATTATGTATGGATTATGTATGGATTATGTATGGATTATGTATGGATTATGTATGGATTATGTATGGATTATGTATGGATTATTGACCCTAATATATTTTAGTGTTGATGGATTATATTGTTTATACAGGGTACAGGTTGTAATTTAAATTATTGACGTTGGATTAGACTTGGAGTGTATGGAATTTGTATGGATTATGTATGGATTATGTATGGATTATGTATGGATTATGTATGGATTATGTATGGATTATGTATGGATTATGTATGGATTATGTATGGATTATGTATGGATTATGTATGGATTATGTATGGATTATGTATGGATTATGTATGGATTATGTATGGATTATGTATGGATTATGTATGGATTATTGACCCTAATATATTTTAGTGTTGATGGATTATATTGTTTATACAGGGTACAGGTTGTAATTTAAATTATTGACGTTGGATTAGACTTGGAGTGTATGGAATTTGTATGGATTATGTATGGATTATGTATGGATTATGTATGGATTATGTATGGATTATGTATGGATTATGTATGGATTATGTATGGATTATGTATGGATTATGTATGGATTATGTATGGATTATGTATGGATTATGTATGGATTATGTATGGATTATGTATGGATTATGTATGGATTATGTATGGATTATTGACCCTAATATATTTTAGTGTTGATGGATTATATTGTTTATACAGGGTACAGGTTGTAATTTAAATTATTGACGTTGGATTAGACTTGGAGTGTATGGAATTTGTATGGATTATGTATGGATTATGTATGGATTATGTATGGATTATGTATGGATTATGTATGGATTATGTATGGATTATGTATGGATTATGTATGGATTATGTATGGATTATGTATGGATTATGTATGGATTATGTATGGATTATGTATGGATTATGTATGGATTATGTATGGATTATGTATGGATTATTGACCCTAATATATTTTAGTGTTGATGGATTATATTGTTTATACAGGGTACAGGTTGTAATTTAAATTATTGACGTTGGATTAGACTTGGAGTGTATGGAATTTGTATGGATTATGTATGGATTATGTATGGATTATGTATGGATTATGTATGGATTATGTATGGATTATGTATGGATTATGTATGGATTATGTATGGATTATGTATGGATTATGTATGGATTATGTATGGATTATGTATGGATTATGTATGGATTATGTATGGATTATGTATGGATTATGTATGGATTATTGACCCTAATATATTTTAGTGTTGATGGATTATATTGTTTATACAGGGTACAGGTTGTAATTTAAATTATTGACGTTGGATTAGACTTGGAGTGTATGGAATTTGTATGGATTATGTATGGATTATGTATGGATTATGTATGGATTATGTATGGATTATGTATGGATTATGTATGGATTATGTATGGATTATGTATGGATTATGTATGGATTATGTATGGATTATGTATGGATTATGTATGGATTATGTATGGATTATGTATGGATTATGTATGGATTATGTATGGATTATTGACCCTAATATATTTTAGTGTTGATGGATTATATTGTTTATACAGGGTACAGGTTGTAATTTAAATTATTGACGTTGGATTAGACTTGGAGTGTATGGAATTTGTATGGATTATGTATGGATTATGTATGGATTATGTATGGATTATGTATGGATTATGTATGGATTATGTATGGATTATGTATGGATTATGTATGGATTATGTATGGATTATGTATGGATTATGTATGGATTATGTATGGATTATGTATGGATTATGTATGGATTATGTATGGATTATGTATGGATTATTGACCCTAATATATTTTAGTGTTGATGGATTATATTGTTTATACAGGGTACAGGTTGTAATTTAAATTATTGACGTTGGATTAGACTTGGAGTGTATGGAATTTGTATGGATTATGTATGGATTATGTATGGATTATGTATGGATTATGTATGGATTATGTATGGATTATGTATGGATTATGTATGGATTATGTATGGATTATGTATGGATTATGTATGGATTATGTATGGATTATGTATGGATTATGTATGGATTATGTATGGATTATGTATGGATTATGTATGGATTATTGACCCTAATATATTTTAGTGTTGATGGATTATATTGTTTATACAGGGTACAGGTTGTAATTTAAATTATTGACGTTGGATTAGACTTGGAGTGTATGGAATTTGTATGGATTATGTATGGATTATGTATGGATTATGTATGGATTATGTATGGATTATGTATGGATTATGTATGGATTATGTATGGATTATGTATGGATTATGTATGGATTATGTATGGATTATGTATGGATTATGTATGGATTATGTATGGATTATGTATGGATTATGTATGGATTATGTATGGATTATTGACCCTAATATATTTTAGTGTTGATGGATTATATTGTTTATACAGGGTACAGGTTGTAATTTAAATTATTGACGTTGGATTAGACTTGGAGTGTATGGAATTTGTATGGATTATGTATGGATTATGTATGGATTATGTATGGATTATGTATGGATTATGTATGGATTATGTATGGATTATGTATGGATTATGTATGGATTATGTATGGATTATGTATGGATTATGTATGGATTATGTATGGATTATGTATGGATTATGTATGGATTATGTATGGATTATGTATGGATTATTGACCCTAATATATTTTAGTGTTGATGGATTATATTGTTTATACAGGGTACAGGTTGTAACGGCTATTCGTTTATATAAATACAAATATATATAAATATGAATATATTTATAATTTAATATGTGATAAAATTAGGAATTAATTTAAATTTTAAAATTTAGGTTAGATATTAAGAAAAATCAAGTTTCTTAATTGATATTTGATTTAAGATTTTTTGTTTAATTTTAAATAGCTTGGCTATTTGTGGTTATGAAGAGTAGAGAAAGAACACAAAGGATACAATCGAAGGGGATAATTGTCATTTTAACACTAATGTTAACAGAATTAGTGTTGCAATTTAGTCCAAAACCACATGAGAGGGATATGGCTATTTTGAAAAGACAATGAGGTAAAGTGCCTTGGACCTATACCACAACGGGTGTAAAATGGATTTTGCTCTAAATGTTTTAGCAATCAATCAATTTCCACTAATAATTAAGAACTCAGCTACAATAAATTAAACCAAACTAAACCTTATGTCCCAACCAAGTGGGGTCAGCTACATAAATTCTTTTTTGCCATTCCACCTTGTCAAGGGCTATATGCTCAGTTAAATTAAAAAAAAATTTTTAATCAAATATCAGCTGCAATGTATTGCTATTAAAAGTAATTGTATCACACAGGATAAAAATAAGATAAAGCACATCACAAGAAGAAACCAATGTAATGAGGAGCTTCATGTATATAATTAAAAATGTTCCCCACAACAGTTCATTGTAGCAAAGCTGATGATGATGACAATACCTTAAGTTGTCAGATGATGAAAGGAGCTTCAATTCAAAGTTCTGAGAGTCATCATAATCACTTGGATGGAGACTGAGTTTTCTCTTTCTAAATGCCACAACTAGAACTTGAACAAATCCAGTGAACAAGCTCTGGCTAGGTTTAACTTTAACATAAATAGAAGAACCCATTAAGAATACTAGAGTAGAGAGAGCCATGAGGATAGCAGGGACTCCGAACCCAACTTGCCAACCCCAATGATCTTGAATGTATACGATAACAGTTAAAGCAACAACTGCAGAGAGTCCACCCGAAGCATAATACCAGTAAAGGAAGCTCTGTAAATTCCTCTCATTATTGGGGTTTTCTTTATCGTCCAATTGGTCTGCACCAAAGGCTATAGAACAAGGTCTAATGCAACCAGCACCAATGGAGATTAGCCCAAAAGAAGAGAACAATACAGCAAGTTGGGCTGTTGTTGGAGAGTTGCAATTGTGCTTGAGCTGTTCACAAGGCGGAGGTTTCAAATGTGGAATCGTGGCAGTTAACCAAAGAAAAGTCATTCCCTGTCGAAAAAAGAACAACATGACCTAACCATCATAATGAATTGAAAGTTGGAATAACAAGGCTGAACTTTCATTTTCTTTATTTCAAATGACAACACCCTAAAAGGTAAAGTCATATCCGGAAAAAAAATCTTATTATTAGAGCTGTTTGGTTACTTCCAAAATAACTGGAAGAAACTTAATCAATGCATACATGAAAAAAAATAGCGGAAGCCATCAAGACGGTTTCTACAATAATGCTAGCTGACATTGAATTTTTGTGGTAAAGAGACTTTATTTCAGTGCTAACTGAAAATAATATAAACACTGCCCTAGATTTTTGATAAAAAACATCAATTGAAAAAGGAAGCATGTTAAAGAATCATCTTCCCCTAAAACAAAATAGGCTGCAAACATGTGGACAAGTGTGGTGTAATCCAAATTATAGAAATATGATCAAGTCTCCTTAGTTAACCTGAAATACACACTCAAAGATGCATAATACACGTTCATCTCATGGACTTTGAAACAACTACATGAAAAGGAGTAAGAAAAAGAAGAAGAAAAAAACCCTAGTTTGTGGTGCCCCCAAAATCTTCACCATATAAGAAATTTAGGTGAAAATAAAGAAAACCCATTGCAATGTTTATCTTCTCATTAGCAAAAAAATGTTTTTTCCCCGGGAAAAAGAATACATTCAACAAAATAAAATGTCACAGAGAGACATTTCTTTGCAAAGCTAATTAACAAACACAGAGTACACGCATTGCATTAAATTATACAATAAACTATATGCTATGGAGCAAGTGGAATCAAGCAAAATTTCTCAAGAAAATATTTTCCAACCAGCCAAACAGAGCATTTGAGCAATCCAGAATGGGTTGTTGTGGACTTACAAGGAGGCTAGAGATGGATCCAATAACAATGACCCGGAACCGACCCAAGTAAGAATCCGAGAGAACAGCTCCGAAAATTCCCAAAGCATTGGAAGTAGCTGACCAGAGAGAGAGCACGATCGACCCAGTAACAATTTCCATGTGATAAACCCTAATTAAGTAGAAAATCATGTTGGGCATCAACCCATAGCTCGCAACTTTCTCTAGCGATTCATTTACTGCAAATCAAAAGCAAAATCAAGCAAAGATTTTGTGTGTATATATATATAGAGAGAGAGAGAGAGAGTATATGTATGTGTTGTGTTGTTGTTTGTTACCTATGATGAGTGGCAAGGTCTTGAAACCACTCTTGATGGGTTTTGAATAGTGATTATTGAGTAACTTGTTGGTCTCTGAATAGATATCCATTTTCTCTTCCTCCATTTCTAGTTCCATTGCTCTGTTCTTGTGTCTCATGTAAGAGAGAGAGAGAGAGAGAATGAAGAAATTTTCTTAGAAAGATCGATGACTTGGTTTTGAAGATTTTGGAGAAGAAGATTTAAGAGGTAGGTTTGTGGGTTCGGAACACGTGACACCCGTGGAGTTCGTGTTAAATTGGCCGTCTGGTTTTCATTTTATTATATAAAAATAAAAATAAAAAAATCTCAAAATTTGACTCACGTAATAAAATAAATATTAAAATTTTAATTTTATTAATTTAAATATTTTTTAATTTGTTTATTAAGTAAAATGGACACAAAAAATGCTTTTTTACCATTACACTCAATGAAAAATGATCTTTTCGACATTTTATATGTATGTACATTAAATTTAACAGTTGTTAACGGTATAAATTGTAAAAGTCAATTACATTTCAACACGTGGCATGAAATGGCCAATTTAGAGAGTTAATATAAGTTGTCAATTAAAGTCAGACACGTGTCAGCCTGTATTAATAATGGATCTGTGTAGCACTGGAACAATCGAGGAATATAAGGTGATGTTGCTTAACGATTACTCACAAAGTTCAAATTCAAAATAAGGAAGGAAGCCTGTCACACTCTAAATTTTAATTATTCGAAAACATTACCAAGAGCCTGAAATTTGGGTCCATTTTTTTTTATTAATTAAAAATATCTATTACACTTGAGTAATAGAAACATAATAATACATGTTCTCTCTCATGATGAATACAATAATAATAATAATAATACATGCCAAGTTTCCGCTACGGAGTTACAAATAAATAATTACAAACATCAAAGTTAAAAGAGATTACACACAAGATATACATAAACTTCCTATTCCTTCAACCATCAATCCGAATTCTCTTCCTGTAAAAAAATGAAACAACAAGGGGTGAGCACAATTGCCCAATAGGAATCTCATAGTTCAAAATCAACAACCATCCTATAGATAGAAATGATCATGCATGCAGGGTGATACCATATAGTAAGGTAATATTTTGTAATTTCAAAATATCATATGTAGAGTATCTTTTTCTCAAAATTTATTTGAATATTTAAAGAAAACCTTCAACCATCAGAACTATCCCCTTTTTATCAGAAAACCATAAATCCTTTTTGAAAACGAATATGTTTAAGGAACAACATTATTTTAAATTTATTAACCCATTCCAAAATATTCCTCATTTAATTTTCATAACATTTCTCTTTTTATTCCCATCCTCCCCTTTTACTAATTACATTTATTAAAACTCCATAGCCTCAAGTTCATGCTCTCTTAATACTCAAAACAACCCTCATACAGTCCGTTCTCACCTGTCAATATTTTATTGCTATAACTCTTTAATGTGAAAATCCAAGAATAATTACATCACATCCACATTTGCATTATCAATTATAACTCAATACATCACAAGGATAATAAACCCTTTTTAATTCAATTTCTCAATTAATCACAAAGCAAAACTCTTAATCTTTCCTTATAGATACAAACAACCCGGTGAGTTCTTTATCACTAACTCCTTATCCAATTATCATTTTATGTGGGTGATTTTCTGACCACACTGATCACTTAGTAACCAATTGGAGATCACCGGCAGAATAGATGGCACCTGGCTGACCTGTAACAGAAAGAGAAGATTCTGGTGGTGGTTCGTCCACCCGGGGGCACTCCGACGATCAAGTCAGTATATCTCTCAAAGATAAATCAAATGCTAAAGTCACAAGCTTAAGTATAAAAAGCATACCTTAGACCCATGGGGGTGCCTCTCTTTTATAGCCAACATAAACCTAGTCCCAATAGAAGCCTAACTTCTATGGACTCAGGATTACTACTAATCTTAGACTCCCAGTAAGATTAAGATAAACTCTCTAAGAGTCTTATCTTAATACAAACTGAAGTCTTCTCTCATTCTAGGACTCTTGCCCCTCATCCGCTTATCTCGGATTCCGATATCTTTGGAGGTAACCTCGGCCTATCCGAGATGACCTCGGCATAACAACTAGGGCACGTGGCACCTCGGCTGACATGTCGGCGTCACCTTGGCCACGTATTGGTACTCAGAAAATATATTCCCATAACCGCCCCCTAGGTTCTATTACCTCGGTATTCTAAGGTCATGGAACCTATATCATTCCTTTCTTTCAATACGTCAGTTTACAGTATCTCAGTCGAGATCATTATTTTTGGCCGACATGTCTTTGCTGAAGAATAAGAACTTCAAGAACCCTTTCACACGTATGAGCTGTCATACACCATAATTCAACCATTTTTAGCCACGCGTTTCTTTCTTATTGGTTTGTACCTGTGACGCGCCCGTAAGCCGTCTCTCTCTCACGTGCGCCGTCTGACGCATACGTTCTTCTAGGCGTATTAATTACTTTTTTGCCGCCGTTTTCATTTTTAACAAAACATCTCTTTGATTTTTCCTTTTCACCTTATTCTTGTTTCTGAAAAACTTTTTCTCTCTCTAGCTTTTCTCATTTCTTCCATTGTTCCATACCTTAAGCTCTGCAATAGCCCTCATTCTTCCTCCCGGTGAAGCTTCCGCCGTCTTGTTACTTCTGTAACCATCGTCTGATTTCGGCGATCCTTACACCGGCTTTATTTTTTCTGGTAAGCAACTGTTCCTTCTTATTTCAGTTCTTGATTGTTTTTCTAGAACTTGTTGTTAGTACTACTTCATTCGAATGTTCAATTTGTGAATCTGAATGCGTTTATTCCATGGTTTGGCCCGTGCCTATATCTTGAACACATGCACTGTTTCACCACTTCCCTGTATTTTTGCCACTGATCTTGGCCCTATATTTCTTGTATTCTTTATGCTCTTGATAGACCATCTCTGTTCTTAATTCTGTAACTCCATTCTTGCTTTCTGTTTTTTGTGTCTTTTCCAGATCTGTGCCTTTGATCTTCGTCTCCATAGTTTTAGGTTTGGGATTTGTTTGTAGAACCCACATTTTAGGGCAAAACTAAAACATCCCTTACAAATTTCTGCACCAGCTCAAACCTAGGTTTTTGCCGAGGTCCCAATAACCCTTTTTTGATACATCTTCTTTCTGAAATCCAATACCTTTAATTATCCCGATATCATGGATATGTGGAAACATTGGGTAGACACCCCCTCTAAGCTAGAATTTTTTAGGCAAGAGTTTGAAATCCCAGCCGACTCCATCATGCCTACAGACAACTCCATGCCCTTCCCTGTGGTTGCCTTTATTGAGTGTGGACTTCGGTTTCCATTTGATCATTTTTTCCGTCAAATCCTTCACTTCTATAAGTTGAACCCAATGCAATTCGCCATCAATTCTTACCGAGTTATTACTGGTACCATAGCTTTAGTCAAACAAGAGAATGCCAGGATTACGCTTGCCGATTTCCAGTACTGTTATACCATGTGTCGCCTTAGAAAAGACACAGACTATGTTTACTACCTCAAGCCGAGATCCATCGAATATAAAATTGTAGCCGACCTCCCAGATTCCAACAAGGGAGCTGGAGACGATTTCTTCATCGTCTCGGGCAATTGGGAGTTTCAGTCTAATGATGACCTCCATCTTTATCCTTTAAGCCGAACAGTTCTTAGGGAAGGAGCTGGTAAGGGCCACCCTTCATAAGTTTTCTTATTTTCTTGCATTAAAGTTTTCAATATTCTGTTTTAATGTCTGTGTTTTCTATTTTTTTGTGCAGTTCTTCCCTAGCCTCGCAAAAGAAACTTTCCCAATTGTAAGACGACCCCGAACGCCCCGGACGAGGATGAGTCCGTTCTGTCATTTGGGGTCCACTACAAACTCGGACTCAAATTGTCCAATTCTTAATCTGGAACCAAAGAGTCCAGATCCGGCAAAATCGTTTTCCGAAAAATAGATTTATTAGAAAAGAAGTGCCAAACATGGACTGCTTTGCCAGATACAGAGTCGCCACCTAAATATTTTATTTTGGGGAATTCAGGAAACCCTGACTCATTTGCCTAAGGCCACGTGTTCGTCATCACCAAAGTTGCCTCGGCTCGGGAACTTGGGTACGATTGGGGAAGGTCACTTCGTGAGCACCCCTGCTCGCCTGATCAAAGATCGGCCTCTACTAACCATGATATCTAGTTTTGAAAACGTTACGTACTCTTATTCTGGTTATTAGCCTAGATTTACTATGTGATGCGCACAACATACAAATATAAACCGGATCGCCTGAATTGGAACAACACATCTCATGTTTGTTTTGAAAATGGTTTGCTACTCGCAAGTAGGCTTAAAATACAGATTTTGCCACCCTCGGGTGGGCTTAGAAAACAAAATAATTTGCCACTCTCAAGTGGGCTTAAAACTCATAATTGATGAATTGTTCCAATCCAAATAACCCAACCTTCACCCACATGCATTCAGGCAGGTATACCACGTAAGCACGTAGCCTCATGGTAAGCATGCTATCATGGCAGTCACTCACACACATGCAAGGATGCTAAAGCATAAACACTTACTGAGTACTCCAAGCCAAAACAGAAACTATGTTAGAAATCCATGCATGATCCTAACTATACAGAAACGCCTAATGCAACACATACAGGAATGCAATTACAATAGGCTTGGCTATTCTAAAGATGGCATGTGATGATGCTACAACTAACACGTATTCAATTTGGAATCGAAATACAAATGCAGTTAGTATGATGCCCCGAGCCCGGTGCATGCAAGACAGATGAATGATGCAAACATGCAAGCATAAGAATGCTAATTGAAATATGCCCTAATCTAACCATCATAAGCTGATAAATAAAAGGGAGAAAGACGTGGGGTTAGAAGACATACATCACACGCACGCACACTTATTACAATTGTGCCCTCGCTCGGAGGGTCCGAATAAATAATATAGTCCGAATAAATAATTAAATATTACAAAACCCTAATTAATTAACAAATTAACTAGGAAAGTGGATAAACTAGCATGCAAGCTTATGGACCGCCTCAAATCTGTTCCGAATGATGAAAGATGCATGCTTGAGTTGCCTGGCGCGGAAATCCATTGCGATGCCCCGATTCGCCTCTGTTTGCAATTAATCCCAGAATGCTATGCAAGGCT